AAAAAAAAAAAAAAAAAAAAAGTAAGTAACTGCCTATGGGAGTATAAATTGGCGCAACCATCTTGGAAAGAGTTTTGCCTTAACTGATAAAGCTGAACATATGCGAAGCCATGCATTCCCCCCATAGGTGGACCACCTCAGCACTTCCACCATAGGACATACCTGGAGCAAATCTGACACACGTGCCCCAGGATGTATGTACAAGAATGTGAGAGAGCTGCAGATGGATTGCACAACAGTGTGAATGTACTTAACCCTATTGAACTGTACAGTTAAAAATGGGCAAGATGGGAAATTTTAGGCTATGTGTATTTTGCCATAATTAAAAATATAAAAGATATAGGAGCTACTTATAAATCTTAGAGTCCATCATTACACTGGGTTTTTATTAGTGCACAACACAGTATTAAGGCATGGATTGAACTGGAAGGAACTTGAATGTTAGAATTAGACTGAGTTGCGGTCTTGGCTTGGGTGACTTGACCTTGGGTGAATTGTCTAACCTCTCAGAACCTCAGTTTCTATTTCCTGTAAAATAGTCCTTTCACCTGAAGATTATACATGCCAGATAGGATTGTTATGAGAATAAAATTTTTAAATGTGTGTAAAGCTCTTCACATAGTTCCTGCTGATGGTAAACTCAAAATAAATGATAGGTCCTATTATCATACAGTACCATTAATGTAAATATAGGAACCCGAATTTAAATTCACAAAACTTATAATATCTTGGAAAGTTTTTTATAAAAACAAATCCAGCCCTGGGCGGTGTCTTTTAGTTGCTTGGAGTGTTGTCCCCTACACTGAGAGGTCTTGGTTTCGATTCACAAAAGAGGGATATACCCAGATATACCCAAGCTGCTGTTTCTATCCCTGGTGGGAGTGTACTGGGGAGGCAACCAGCAGATGTTTCTCTTTCTCCCCCTCCCATGCTCCTTCCTCTCTCTCTAAATTGAACAATAACAAACCCATTTACTGTTCTTAAAAAAAAAAAGGATAATTATAACAGCCAAACACTGGAAATAACCCTAGTGTCTGTTAAAAGGAGATTACATAAATAAATATACTATAATCACACAGTAGAATATTATTTATCTGTGAAAATGAATTATAGGTCTAAGAATCAATATGAGTAATATCAAAAACAAAGTGTTGGGAATCAGAAGCAAGTTATAGAATAATACATAAACTGTGATGCCATTTATCTAAAGTTCAACACTAGTAAGGGAGAATTGTGGCCAGCCATTCTAGCACAGGCATAGAAGGCCCTGTTGCCGATGCTCTACTAGGAAACCCTGCCTCCCTGGGACTCTTTTTATATTTGTCAAGAATAGGTCATTTCGCCCTAGCCGGTTTAGCTCAGTGGTTAGAGCATTGGCCTGTGGACCGAAGGGTTCCGGCTGGATTCCTGCCAAGGGCATGCACCTAGGTTTCAGGCTCGATCCCCAGCCCTGGTCAGGGCGAGTATAGAGGCAACCAATAGATGTGTCTCTCTCACATTGTTGTTTCTCTTTCTCTCACCCTCTCTCTCTCACCCTTCCCCTGTCTCTGAAAAGCAATGGGAAAAAATATATATATATATATATTCTTGGGTGAAGATTCAAAACAAAGAATGGGTCATTTGGCTGCCCATCCCCGAGAGAAGACAAAGGGGTTACCTCTTTATCACCTGGAAAAGGCAACCATATTTCCCACCCACCCACCGGTCTTTAGGAGCTGGACTCCAGTTCCTAGTTTTTTCCAAGGAGGGTGTCAACGGGGAGGAAGGGGTGAGGAACCAATATGACTGGCCAGGGACAGAAAAGGCCAGGGCGGTTCATCTGCCTAGGAAATGAAGCTCCAGGCTGCTTTGCAACCGCACTGGCTGGGTGTCCCCGTGAGTCTGCATGCTGGAATGGTACCCAGATGGAAGCCCTTGAGAGTCAGACAGGCCTGCCCAGAAACAGATAAAAGATTGTTACAGTGTGGTTCCTCCTGGTCCTCCCCCAAGTTATTATACACACTCAGAACCCTACAGCTTTGCATTCAGGCCTGGGATTCTTGGAGGCTTTGGCACACAAACCCATAGGCCTAAATGGAGGTCTTCTGGGGCTTTTGGAAGATCCTTCCTGCTGGTTTTCCTTGTCTCCTCTCCTTACAAGAGTGGCCTTGAAGCCCGCCTGCAGTGAACTTTGTAAAATTACATCTGATCATGTCATTCCCCAGTTAAAAACCCTGCCTATGTTCACATGTCTTCTGTAAAACTGAACTCCTTATTCAAGCCTTCCACTTGTGTGGTTTCAGCCCTGTGACTCATAAATGTTGTTTCTTTTCATTGAATGTCCCCCGCCCCCCAACACACACACTATTAGATTAACCTCTGCAGTCCAAACACCTGGAGCATTACTTCCTCCCAGGGGCCTTCTGTGAGCCTCCATCCTGGGTTAGAATCCCCTTCATCTGAACACTTAACACATCTAGAGCTTCTTGAGGATAATTAGTCACTCAGCAGCACTACCTGGCGTGTGCTGGTTCCTGGGGATAGAAGACCAAGTCTCTGCCCTCAGTTTCTATGCAGAAGATTGATGTTAAACGAGTGATTTCAAGTGTAGAAAGGACCATGCAGGAAGTGCACATGCAGCAGAGAATCCTGTGTGATCCAAAGGCCTCTCCAAAGAAGTGGAATAAACTAAGAAAGGGGGCAGTGGGGGATGGGACAGGAGACAGAGGGTTCTAGGCAGAGTGAAGAGTAAGCACCAAGTCCTAGGGACTCAAGAACTGAAGTTCTAGTGAGGCTGAAGGCAAATAGTGAAATGCAGAGGAATGAGTAAGAGAAGGACTTTTCCAAAACCGACTTTCTATTTCCCAGTCCTAAAAGAGGCCTGGCACACAGTAGGCCTCACTAAATACTTTGGTGAAGTGTCTGTGGACCATGATGTGCTTGCTCCTCACAGGAGTTTTTTTTATCCTCACCTGAGGATATTTTTTCCATTGCTTTTCAGAGAGAGAGAGAAAGAAACATCAGTGTGAAAGAGCCACACTGATTGGTTTGGTTGCCTCCCCGACTCCCCCCCAACCAGGGCGGGGGATCGAGCCTGCAACCGAGCTACGTGCCCTTGGCCAGAATCGAACCCGGGACCCTTCAGTCCATGGGCCAATGCTCTAACCACCGAGCCAACTGGCCAGGGCAGGAGAGAATTTACAATCTCACAAGCTGCTACCTCTTTGTCAATCTGGCAAGCTCCCGCCCATCTTTGAAGGTCCTTCCCATTTGTCTCCTCATTGAGGCCTGTACCCCAAATCCACTCCCTTCAACAGGGTTATTCACTTACCCCACTATTCTGCCAGAACACCTAGTTTCCTTTTCATGTATATATAAAATTTATTTATATATACTCATGTGTAACTTGTATCACAATCTTCTTTGCCAGACTATGAGATTCTCAAGAACAGGAACTAGCTCCAATTCTAGGTAGACACTTGTACATGTTTGTAGAGCAAATGAACGGAATCCTTGTCCTTTCCAAAGCATCCGTTCCAAAGTCCTTCCAAAGCAGAAGGCCCTTCCAGTAGGAATTTTCACTGCTCCGAGCCAAGTCTCCTCACTGACTCTCTGAATCAGGGCAAGCAGGCCTTGTCTTTTGTTAGAGGTGGGGTTCCAGCCATGACCAGGTCCATGCCTAGCTCTCTTCCATCTTCCATATTTCCCCTCACTGACTTAACTGGCTCAGGCACACAAGCCTTCTTTCTTTCTTTTTTAATCCTCAATAGAGTACATGCTTTTATTGATTTTAAAGAGAGGAACAGAGAGGGAGAGAGCAAGAGAAACATCGATGTGAAACTAAAACATCAGTTGCACAAAACCCTACTGGGGATAGAACTGGCAACCTGGGTATTTGCCCTGATCAGAAATCCAACTGGCGACCTTTCCATGCATGGGACAGTGCTCCAACCAACCGAGCCACACCAGCAAGGGCACAGCCTTCTTTCTGTTTCCCAATTATTCCAAACTCTTTCCCACCTTAAGGCCTCTTTGTTTCTCTTTAGAACACTCTTCCTCCAGAGTTTCAAATGGCTAATGTTTTCATTCAAGGCATCTCAAATAATATTTCCACACAGATGCCTTCCCTGCCCACATTCAAGAAGCCCCCAACCATACCACTCCCTTTCACATCCTCCTGCTATATTTCCTCCTTGCACCTAATCAGGATCAGAAATTATCTTATTGTTTACATTTTTTTACACCCTTAGAAGGACCACAGTAGTCAAGATTTTTGTCTGCTTCCTTCACTACTGCATCTCCAATACCTACAATGGTGCCAGGCACATAGTTGGGCTCAATGACTACTTGAGAGAAGGAACACAATCAAAGTGGCTTAGGGATCTTGAGTGTGACTATCCAGGCATTTGACGCCTTTTCCCAGCTCCGGGGAAAAACAAAAATTTGACCAGATTTAATCCCAACATCAAATTATGCTCTGGGTTCTGCAGACTGAAGCACAGGTTTGAGTCCTGGCTCTGTTATAGTATATTAGGAAACCAGGGAAATTCCAGGACAAGTGGAATAGGGAAACTGAGACAGTTAAACAGCAGTTTGCAGTCACCTAGTAAATTCTATCTTCCCTAAACCAAGGACATTCAAGAGTAGATGGTTTGCATTTCTCCTCCCCAGCTAGAGGGTAAATAGCTTAAATCACACCACTCAGGGAGTCAGATAACAGAAACCCAATTAGTGCCATTTGCCAACCACACCCAAGGACAGACAAATTAAGAGAATAAACCTCATTTTGGTACATCAGCATAAAATTGACGAATATTCTATTGGTCTGCCCCTAAGATCTCCCCTAAATGCCCAGCCTTTACAATCCCTGAAAATGAAGGTCCCAGCATGCTCCTCTAGGGGAGCACACCATCTCCATCTCCATCTCCAAGGGTATCCCATGTGACTTTCAACCAGGGGAGCAATGGGCAGTGGCAGCTCATCCTGGGCTAACCCCAGAACCTGTCTCCAAGGTGAACCTGTCCCCTTCTCTCTCTGACTTCTCAGTGAGCCAGAGCAGCCCGGCCTAGGCTCTCCTGTTGCTTTGTCTATACCCTTCCTTATTTCACCATCCTAAGTATATTTTTGCTGCAGCCAATAAATTCTTACTTTCTACACTTTGTCTCTTGATTGAAATCTTTCCCTCAAGAAGACAAGAACTAAGGTCTCCCTGTCTCCCTGGTAACAGCTCTGCTACCAATTTCCTTGAGTAACTTCATTTCTGAGAGAGACTTTGGTGCAATAGAAAGAAAATGAACTTTGGAATCTGCTACTTACCAGCTATGTGACTTAGAACAAAGCTTCAGTTTCCTCATTTGTCAAAGGGAGATATTCTTTTTATATATATATAGATTTCAGAGAGAGGGAGAGGGAGAGATAGAAACATCAATGATGCACACCCCCCCCCACTGGGGAGTGAGCCCACAACCCGAACATGTGCCCTGAGGGGGAATCAAACCTGGATCTCTTGGGTCATACATCAATGTTCAACCTCTGAGCCACCCCGACTGGGCAACGGGAGATTTTTTTTTTTTTAATATATCTTTATTGATTTCATAGAGAGGAAGGGAGAGGGAGAGAGAGAGTAACATCAATGATGAGAGAGTCATTGACCGGCTGCCTCCTGCACGCCCCCGACTGGGGATTGAGCCCTCAAACCGGGCATGTGCCCAGACCGGGAATCGAACCCTGATCACCTGGATCCTGGATTGATGCTCAACTGCTGAGTCATGCCCGGCCAGGCGGGGAGATATTCTTGATTCCCACACAGAGCTATTGTAAAGAGGCAAGGTAGGGATTTTAAACATTTAGTGAAATGTTATTTCCCTTCTTTCATCATTTCTGACTTTTAGTTGCCCCATGCATAAAAAGGGAGAAATAGATATATTTTTCAAGAGAAATAGGAAATACAGAAACTTTAAATGAAATATCCCAATTTTGAAATGTTGGAAATGAAAGTTTCTAAAAGACTTTTTTTTTTAAGCTAATTTTTAAATGTAAAAACACCCTGAGGGTCAAACAAGATATCTCTGTGGACTGGATTTGGCCTGTGAGGTACCAATTTTCCCCTAGGCTACTGGGTTTTGGGGGATGCTATGAGAATCCTTACTGTACAATTTAGGCAAATCAGCTTACTTCCCAGAACTTCAATGAGCCCATCTGTAAAATGGACCCGTTTCTGTGTAGATCAAAAGAGATCAACAAAATCATAGATACAAACAACACAGGGCAAGGGATGGGGGGAGAGGAAGAGGATAAAGGGGGTCGAATATGTGGTGTCTGAAGGAGACTAGACTTCCGGTGGCGATATTTTACCCCAATACATTTAGGTTTGTAAAACGTTTAGCGTAACACTGGCGCATAGACAGGGCACGGTGGCTTTTTGTCGTGGCTGATTTCGTAAGTATATATTCAAGGGGTAAGATATCCCAGAGAACAGGAGCCCGGAAAAGAAGGCAAAGGAGAAAAAGAGAAAAGGGAAGAGCTGAGCAGGCAACAGGGTCCGCCCTCCAGGCGGGGCGCCAGCGCGAGGCCCAGGCCGGGGCCGGGGCCGCAGCGCACGTGGCCTACTTTGGGCGGAGCGGACGCGCTGGGCTGCAGCGGAGACCGCCGGCCGCGGGACACAAGCCGGGAAGGTAGGTTACAGCCGGTCGGCGAGGCCCTTCGGAGTCGGGGTTAAGCGCACGGGGTCCTGGCAGCCGGGACAGCGGAGAGCGCCAGCTCTAGACCTTCCACAGTCCCGGGGCAGTTGAGGTCTGAAGCCTGGGTCCTCTGGATCCCTCCCCAAGGGGGTGGGGTTAGGTGTTCTGACCAATGACAGGCCTACCCGAGGCCCCGCCCCGCCCCCGGAGCCGCGGCCTCTCTGAGCGCCCAACCGCCGGGCCGGGCCTGGAGTTGAGCTTGCACTGAACCTGCGGCCGGTGAGTGCGCGCCCCCGGGGTCTCCGGCCCGATCCGGCTCCAGCCGGTGCCCTGGAGCTCCCGGCCGCCGCCCCCGGCGCCGAGGGGTGACTCAGCGCGGGGAGGGGGGGACTCCCTGGAACTGGAGATTCGAACTGTTAAGGCCTTGAATGCCACCAGGAGTGGGTGACCCAGTGTCTTCGGAGCTGGTCCCGGGGAAGGGTTGGTGCCTAGGCCCGAGCTGGGGCGGGAGGGGAGAGCGCCAGACCCAGAAGCCAGGGTCGGGCTAGGAAAGCCGCGGCCGAACCGCCTGGCCTGGGCCACGGCCATGGTGCGGGGTGGGTCCTGAGCTTCTGACCCAGCTGCCCGCCCTAGGATACCAAGATGCCCGGCGAACAGCAGACCGAGGAGGAGGAGGAGAAGGAGATGCAGGAGGAGATGGTGCTGCTGGTGAAGGGTGAGGAGGAGGAGGGCGAGGCGAAGTATGAGGTGGTGAAACTCAAGATCCCCATGGACAACAAGGAGGTACGTGTCCCCCACCCCGAGGCCCTGTTGCCCCTAAGCTGGTCCCGGCCCAGCCTCGGTCACACAGAAGCCAGGGACCCTGCCCCTGCTTTCCCCTGAATCTCAAATCTAGAACCTGAGGGTTAGCAACGCATCCTCCTGCCCACTGCCCCTGGGGGCTCCAAGTAAATGCTCTCTTCGCTTCCCCAGGGAGCCTGATGTGTGCAGTGTTGGGCTGCTGAGTAGCCAGGCGGCTACAGTCCTAGGTGATGAGAGCAGGCACCAGGCTGGAGGCCCAGAGCTGGGAAATTAATGCAGACCTGGGGTGAGGGAGGGGCCAGATTAGGCAACAGTAACATTTACTATTCTCCAGACACTGTTTTAAGCACCTCAATTCTGTGACATAGGTTGTATTTGCTCCATGTCACAGATGAGGAAACTGAGGCTCAGGAAGCTTGACAGTTTGGTGACTGGCCCAAGGTCTCACAGTTAGTAAAGAGATGGCTTATCTGAGACCAGTGAGAGTGGGGGGTGAGGTGAGTGACTACTCCAGGCAGAAGACCTGGGCCTTTCAGTGGCCCAGAGGGAGTGAGTGGGGCACTGGGAGAAGTGAGGGCAGGTGGTTCAGTCATGCTGTGGCATGGATGAGCTTAGGGTGTTTGGCAGGTTAGGTAGGGCATTTGGGATTTATTGTGAGGGTGATGAAGGTTTAAAGAGAGGAGTTTTAATATCAGAATATGAGTTAGATTTTCCCATTCAAGGCCCGAACTGCCACAATTCCCAGAAACCCACAGAACTCTCCCTTAGCCAGTGCAACCCTGCCTACAGCTGGGGAACTCTGGCTGGGCCAGGTCTCTGAGCCCAGGCTCTGATTTCTTCCTGCAAGGGAGCCAGTTCCCAGGGAAAGAGCGTTGTGCTGCCCCCTTGTGGGTGTGGTGGGTGGGCCCTGGGGGCGGGGGCTAGCTGCTTTGGCCTCTTCTAGCAGTGGAAATAACTGTTTAGGTGTATTTTTCTCAGGCCTCCTTGGCCCATCATCCTAGCTTAGTTGGCCTCTTCTGGGCCTGTGGATCTCCTGATCTCCCCATTCCACCTGTAAGTTAAGAACTCAGCCTGGCCAGGGTGGCTCAGCGGTTGAGCCTCAACCTTTGATCCAGGCAATAGCAGTTAGATTCCAGATCAGGACACATGCCCAGGTTGCCAGCTTGATCCCCAGTAGGAGGCAATCGGGAGGCAGCCAATCAATGACTCATCATTGATGTTTCTATCTCCCTTTCCTTTCTTCTCTAAAATCAATACACTTTTTTTTTTTCTAAAGTTGAGAGAAAAATAAATAAAGAACTCAGACTCCAGGGCTTAGGGTGGACTTCCAACTCCATCATTTACCAGCTGTAAGATCTTGGGCAAGATGCTTAACCACTTTGTGCCTCACTTTCTTCATTTGTAAAAGGAAAATCATACCAGCCTCTACTTCTTAGTGTTGTGAGGATGAAGTGAGTTAATACATGTAAACAGTTAGAACTGTGTATGGTACATAATAAACACTATGTAAATATTTGCTGCTGTCATTATTCTTCTTTGTAAAGTTTAGGACCTTGGTCTAGGTCGCCCTTTGGGCAATCTTTCAACTCATTTTTATCAAAGGTCTTTTTGGATTGAATCCTGGAGCTGGGGGTGAAAGCGGTAGCCGACATGGAGGCCTAGACAGAGGGTGCATGGCAGACAACCCAAGGCAGTGGGGGAGGCTTCACAGAGAAAGCTTAGTGGGGATCTGGCAAATGGGGCAGAGGACGGACATTCCAGGAGGAGAAAACAGCAAAGCAGAGGCTCAGAGGAGATGGGCAGAGAGTTAAAGGTATGGAGGCCAGAACAGGAATTGAACACCCTGTGTGAGGTTATGTGGTGCCACCAGAAGCCTCAATCAGAAGAGGGACATTGGGTTTTCTCTTTAGAAGATTTTCTGACTGCTGTGGGAAGAACAGGCCATGTGGAGACAAGACAGGAAGGAGGGGATGTTTGGGAACCTTGATTGGACTGGCTGGAGCTAAGGATGGGATGGAGGAGGGTGGCATGGCTAGTCATGAGATGTAGGTAGGGTAGACGCTAAGAGGTCCATGTAGCAGAAAAAGCATTGGTTCAGATCCCAGCTCCACCATTTATCAGCTTTGCCCTGGCTTTCTCATCTGTAAAATGAGGTAATGGAAGGAAGAGTTTTGAAGGCCACAGTAAGCGTTACCTGGGTGACTGATTTGGAGGAGGGTGGAGAGGAGGATTCCTCACACACATCCCACAAACATTTAGCACAGGGCTGTGCCCACAAGATAGATCATGAACTTGCTGTGTGTCTTCCCTGAGTCTCAGTTTCTGTGAAAATTGTGATCTCGAAGCTCTTTCCAGTGCTGACATCCTGTAACTCTCAGCTGTCACCCAGCCCCATGGCCAGTCATTGTCCGGGACAGGCCTGCGTTATGCTGCACGCGGGCGCTGAAGCATTCTCTCACTGCCTGTGAGAATCCAACCTCTTTAATGAAGACAACGATTTTCTCAGAACTCTGTGCTTCGGTCCTCTCTCTCTTGGCTTAAGCCTTTGAGTGGTTCCTGTTTCCCTCAGGATCAAGTCTCAGCTCCTAGGCCTGGCATGCAAAGCTCTATACCATCTGACCCCATGTCCTGGCTTCATCACCCAACACCCACCCTTGCCATGCCCCAGCTTCAAACAGACCTGACCCTTTCTCACCTCTAAGACTGCCCAGGTGGTGTTTCAGCCGGTAACACCCTCTTCACTTTTCCACCCGCTTTCCCCAGGAGTTGCTCTCCTCTCTTCTGGATGAAGTGTCTTAATTCTAATGTGCTTACAAATCACCTGGGAATCTTGTTAAAGTGAAGGTTTTGATGTAGTAGGTCTGTGGTGGGACTTGAGATTCTAACAAGGCCCCAGTGATGCTGATATGACTGGTCTGTGGACCACACTTCCTGCAGCAAGGAGCTAGAGATAGGGATGGTATTTTGCACTTAGCACCGAAAGATGGGGCATCTGCCCAGACTGGTTTGTTGCGCATCTTCCCACGAAGCAAAAGGTTGCTGGTTTGCTTCGCGATCAGGCACTTGCCAGGCCTTTGAGCTCAAACCGTAGTCGTGGGCGTACAGGAGGCAGGCAGTCACTGTTGTGCTGTCACGTGCATGTTTCTCCCTCTCTTTCCCTGTCCCTTTCTCTCTGAAAGTCAATAAAAATATTTTTGAAGAAGAAGGTGGATTCTGCAAGGAGCCCAGGGGAGGGATGCATGCTGTGTAGGTGACCTCAAACTTGTCACTGAGATGGAATTGCAGGATGCCTAAGAGAACAGGTGTTTTGAGTGATGACAGACTTCCAGGTCAGACCCTGGTTCGGCCATTGATTAGCTGCAGGGCCTTGGGCAGTCAGTCAGTTTACTTCTGAGTCTTATTTCCTTATTTATAAAATGGAGCTAGAGATACCGAACCCAAAGGGTTGTGAGAATTTAACACGAGTACATGGGTGAAAAGCACTTAGCACAGTCCCTGGCACATAGAGAGCTCAATACATGGTAGTTACTGTTATTAATTAGAAAAGTAATGGCTGAGGAGGAACCTGGGAACTTCGCTCTGGTTAAGAAACATTTAAACAGGAAGACAAAATCACTAACTTCAAGTACTTGGGTTATCATATTACTGTACTACACTGTATCCCCATTGGACCCTCATGTGCAAATACCATTTATTCTCACTTTAAATCTAATAGTTGTAGAATTTAAGACATGTGAGGGCCTTTAATGACCACCTAGTCTGGTATTTGATGAGCTTCAAGTGTTTGTACATTGCTTACCTGCTGTGCTCATTTATTTAATGCTTTTTTCAGATGGATTCAATTGTTTTTGTTATAATCATTTTCATCCAAAAAATAATACTGATGAACCTGTGGGTTTCATGTGCTCCATTGTTTTTCTAATATCCATGAAAATAAATGCACAATGATTAAATGAGATAAAAGTGTGACTACAGAGGACTTAGAATCCTCTCGCATCCTGTGATGTGAGCATACCTCAAGCTGGGAAATTTTTATCTCATCTAGCCTACCTCACCTTCCCTGGTTCAGTGAGGCCTGGGAAGGGAGTGACTTGTCAGGGGTCTTAATGGGCTAGCCTCAGCCCTTACCAAGATTTTTCCTGGGGCACCCAAGGTACCTCCTGGAGCCTCAGGGACCAAGAGTCCCTGAGGGAAGAATTTCTTAAGTCAGTGAGCCCAGCAGAAGGAAGTGCTCAGGATGGTCAAAGTCATCTTAAAGAGGGTGCCAAAGAAAAAAGGGCCAGGAAAAATGTAGGTATAATAAGAAAAGTTCTCTCCACAATGGCTGGCATACCCAATAGATTTCAAACCCAGAGCAATACTGGAAAGTGTGACCTTGAATTCTGACTGTTCCAAATGCATTCTGGGAAGTTTCTTGATTTAAGGTATCAAGTTGTATTTTAACTTTGAATCCCTCTTGGAAAATGCTGGGGACTTGGAGTCCAGCCTCTGTGACATCTTGGCTGTGCAAGGGCAGGGAAGCACAGAGTAGCCTACCAGTTAAGTAAGGGTCCTGAATCCCACTGGATTTGGGAATTTAATCTACCTGAGCCCATTTTCTTAATTATCAAAGCATAAGACCTGACTCAAGGAGGTGACAGGAAGATTTAATACAATAATGTACATAAACTAGCATTGTTGAAATTTTATAGTGTTATTATATACGCAGTTTAAACCGGATTTCTGATCTTCAAGGCGTTGAAGTTGCCCTCCTTGCAACTTAAGATCTTAAGTAAAATCCTCCACCAGGCTGGCCTGGCTTAGTGGGATGGGCGTTGCCCATGCTGGAGGAGGTTGCTTGACCAGGGAACATGCCCAGGTTATGGCAGGATCCTCTGTAGGGTGCAGGGTGAGTGCAGGAGGCAGCTCATTGATGTTTTTTTCTTTCCCTCCCTTACTCTCTCTTAAAATCTAAATAAACTATTTTTTTTTTTTTTTTTAAAAAAAGGAAAGTAAAGCCCTTAACTAATCACTGTCACTCTCTCTTAACCTGTTTCCGTATCTATAAAATAAGACTGTGATAACTACTTTGTGGAGCTCAGATATGGGGAGAAGCTAACATTGTCTTGTCCTTAATATGTGCCAGGTATTTCGCTTGTACCTAATTGCTTGGCCCCCAGTAGATACTCAACATCACTTTTCCCTGGATGAGCCTTCTCTTTTCTAAGACGGGTGCACTATTGCCCTCAATATTCCTCTTCTACTGTTAATTCAAAATGTTAACACAATACAGTGTTAATAAAACGTGCTCCCTTCACGTGCTTTTTACAAAACATTTCTTTTTCTGATTTTATCTTAAAAGCCCTGCTTCATGAAACTGGCTCATTTTCAATTTAGACCTCAGAATAGTATTTGGGTTTTACCTCTGCCATCTTCACAGCGTAAAAAATGTTATGTGCTGGGTCTTAAAGGTTTATTTAAAAACCTGGATTTGGCCCTAGCCGGTTTTGTTCAGTGGTTAGTGCGTTGGCCTGGGGACTGAAGGGTCCCAGGTTCTAATTCAGCCAAGGGCACGTACCTCGGTTGCAGGCTTAATCCCCAGGCAGGCAAGTGCAGGAGGTCACCAATCGATGTGTTTGTCTCACATCGATGTTTCTCTCCCCCTCCCTCCTTCCCCCTTACATTCTTTCTAAAAAGTAGTGGAAAAAATATCCTTAGGTGAGGGTTAAAAGAATGAAAAGCCTGGATCTGTTTTTGGCCTAGATTCTAAGACACCATCTTCTCCTACCTCACTGGCTGCTCCTCATCTTGCTCCCTGGTTTTCTGCCCATTCCCTGGGTAGTCTCATTTGGTCTCAAGGCTTTAAAAACCATCTGTAGGCTGATGTCTTGCTAATTAGCATCTCTAACTCGGCCTATCTCCTGAGCTCCAGATGTGTCAAGAAGTAGAGATGTGAATTGGAACAGATCTCACCTTTTAACTTGCTCTTCCACCATCCTCATGTCTGCAGAGGGCAACTCCACTTTTGTAGTTCTAAATTCAGAATCCTTGGTGTAATTTTGACTTTTCTTTACATCTCATGTCTAATCTTATTTATCAAGTCAGTGGCCTCAAATGGCAAAAATATATTCAGAAGCAAACCCCTTCTCACCACCTTCATTTTTCACCTGTCTCCTGGGTCTCAGCCACTGTGTTCTCTTGCCTGATGACTGCGGTACAGCAGCCTCCTCTCTGGGCTCCTGCGTCTGCCCTCTAGCCTCCTACAACCCCAGCAACCTGATAGGGAGGCCTTTAAATGAGTCTGATCTGGTCATGTCCCTGCTCAATGTTAACAGCTCTTCTTATGGTTCCCTATCTGGTTCATATTACAAGGCCCTAAGCTAAAGGATCCCCTCCAGCACCACCCCATTTATTATCCCCCAGTTGTACATTCTGCCTTAAGAATTTTTTCTTGCCATTCTGGGTCTTATCTGGCAAAACTCCTGCCTCAGGGTCTTGCTGTGCGCTCTGTACCCTTCTCACCTCCTTTAGTTCTTCGCTCATGTTACATCAGTAGTTTGTTAACCTTATTTAAATTTGTAGCCCCCGCCCCCCTTTACCATCACTGCTCGTCCATTCTTCGCGAAAGCACGAATTTTAAAAGTATAATAATGAATTTCCCTAGTGCCTAGAATACCCTAGAATGCCCTTAACAAATATTTGTTGAATTAACAAAAAAATAGCTAGAATGTGCATTAATGCAGGATCTAACTTAATGCGCACAACAGTGCTGTGAGGCCGGCACCCTTGCTGTCCTGTTTTCCATAGGGGTAACTGAGCGTGGGCAGCTTACGGAGCCTCAGGTGCCTTGCTCCTGGGCCTATGGGTCAGGACTGACCCGTCCCCCCTCTCCCCACAGGTCCGGAGCCAGGCGCCACCGCCGCCCGCCGACCCTGCGCGCCCACATGCGTGCCCAGACTGCGGCCGCGCTTTTGCGCGCAGGTCCACGCTAGCCAAGCATTTGCGCACGCACACGGGCGAGCGGCCCTTCGAATGCCCCGAGTGCGGCCGGGGCTTCTCGCAGAAGTCGGCGCTGACCAAACACAGCCGCACACACACTGGCGAGCGGCCCT